GGACGGGGTGGGGTGCGGGGACCCCCTGTGCCGGCGCCCCACCCCGGAGCCCAGGCCGCGGTCCCCTCCCCACCGCCCTGGCCTTCCAGCCGTGAGGCTGTACTCAAGATGGGCCTGGGCAGGACGCTGGGGGCGGGGATTCCCACAGCTCGCGCGCCGTGGGCTTCCTGGAAGGCAGTCGCTTACTGCTGGCCCTGCCTCGGTTTCCCCCTGAGCCCCAACAGGCTGCGCCTCCTCCTCCCTGTCCTGGCTGGAGGGGGCCCTTGGGAAATGGCCAGAGGCCTCAAGTTTGTCCACACCCCAGATCTGCCTGCCCTCCTCCATGTCCGTGCCAGGCTCCTCCTGCACCCCAGAGGAAGGGGAGGAATGAAGGAGATTAATTGCAATTAATAATTAATTAATATCATGTGAATGATAATCACCCAGATGGAATCTTCACTCAGCTCTGCTCGGCTCCCCAGGATCTGGGAGCTGAGAGTTGGCCAGGGCCCTGGGGCGGTGGGGCTGGTAACCAAAGCCTGGCCGGGACGCAGGTGTGCAGCCTGGTCAGGGGCCACTGAAGTCGGGACGTTCTGGCAGCTGGGAGTAGTGGGAGGAGATCGGGCTGGCTGCGGAGCAGAAGGGGAGCGGGGCTAGCGTTACCGACGTCTGTCAGACTGGCATCTGGCCCTGCCTAATGCACTCCGTTAAAAGCCGTCCAGGAGGAGGGGGCGGGCCAGGCTGCGGCTCGCTCGGGCAGGAAGGAGCATGCATAATAGATGGAGCATCTCGCCGCCCACTGGGAGGCCGGATGGTCCCGGCGCTGGGCAGGGTGGGGGCAGAGGCCAGCTCCAGGCCAGCCTCTTGCCAGGCAGGTGGGATGGGCAGTGGGTAGCTGCCGATGCTCTGTGAACTCTGCAGCCGAGAAGGCCTTGGCGAGGACTCAATGGCTGTCCTGATGGCTGAGTGCCCAGTCTGGGGAAGGGGTGATGCCCCAGGGCAGGACTGAAAGTGAGGGTTCAACGGGGCAGACTTCTCCTTTCTGAAGGGTGGAGGTCAGGATGGGTGTGTGAGACTGGATGCCCTGCATGCTGGGGACTTGCACAGGGCCCTGGCTTACGTGTGCCTCAGTTTCCCCTGTGCCGGTGGACCTGCCTGGTGAAGGAGAGGGTTGTGGACTTTCAGGGGTGGGCACTGTGCTGAATCTTGTAGCTTGTGAGCCGGGGGAACCCGGGCCCCAGAGGTGAAGCGCCTCTCCCAGCTGTCAGGTCTCAGCGGCAGAGCTGGCTGCTGTTTCCTCTGAGGCCACTGCACTGCTCGGCTTCTGGGCACCTCGGTTTGGGTCCCAGGGTGCTTCCCGGCCTGCAAGCCAGGACAGAAGAAGCCGGGACACAGGTGCCACGGCCAATGTCTCCCAGTGGGCTAGTGGCAGAGCTTGCAGCCCGGCCCAGCAGGTGTGGGGTCAACAGCGAGACTTTGATCCTGGGGGGATCTGAGGGTACATTCAGGCCAGCTGGCAGAGCCCCATCTTCAGACCCCTGAGCCCAGGACAACAGCCTGCATCTCAGAGGATGAGGACGGTGAGCGAGGAGCCGGGAGTGGGAAGTGGAGAGGCCCCATCTCGAAGGCCCTCACCAACGGGCTCGAGTCTGCCTTTCTGGGTGCAAATCCAAGAGCCGCTGCCCTGTCCCACAGGTTGGAGAGACCCCAGCCACAAGACGCTCGGGACCGGGGGTTGTTAGCAGCACTCAGGGCCAGAGTTACAGACAGGGGCACACAGGACCTTTTGTCCTTCTCCACTGCCCCAGCCTGAGCTCTGTCCCCTCTGGGAGCTGGGGTGGGGCTTCGCCAAGGAGGACACAGGATGCCAAGTGCAGTGCAGAGCGGCTGCTCCCAGCAGAAGGGGCCTCCACAGGGCAAGGGGCCGGGCCATGTCCTGAGGGTCACCTTTCCCGGCTCATGTGGAGCTGCCATGTGGACCGAGGAGTGGGCAGGATGTGGGGAGCATGAAGGGGCCTGCTGGGGAGGGTCTTGGTCACCCGGCTGGGACGTGAGTAGGCACAGTTAGGTGTGGCTCAGTCCAGCCTGGCAAGGTGGGCAGCAAGCCCAGGCCTGTGCCCTTGATGTGTCTCTGCTCCATCCTGGGGCTGTGTCTGGGGCCAGGGCCCTCTTGTTCTGGGGTGCCCAGGCACTGAGGTTCAAAAGGCTTCCTGAAGTGCCCTGGGGCAGGTGGCCCCAGGCAGGTCCTGCCCAATGTGACCGAGCCAGCCTGGGTGCTGCGTGTTATTTGTTGCTCAGAGAGGAACCCAGCAAGCCCCACACCTCGGCCTTCCCTGCCAGGCCCTGGCCTCCCTGGCTCCCTGCTGGCTGCCTGGAGGAGCCCAGCTGCCCAGTGTCTGTCCCCAGAGGGACTGGCAACCCTGTGAGGAGGTGACTCTGTCCTCGGAATGTAGGTCACATCCCATCCTGGAGATCCATCCACCTGTTCTCAAGGTCTGGTAAATGGGGCACTGGGCCTTGCTGGGGCAGGGTCCCCTGGCGGGACCGCTCAGTAGTCCTGCCCAGCAGCAGGCACCCAGCCCAAGAGGTGCTGGTGTCCCCGTCCCCACGAGAACACCAGAGGGAGACTGCACGGCCCTCCCATATCAGACAAAGCCACTGCTCTGGCATCCCTGTCCCAGGAGACTGTGTCCAGGCTCCCGTCCTCACTGGCCCATGAGAACAGTGCACTGACCAAGGCTCAGAAGCCCTCACAACCCCCATTCCACGAAGGAGAAACTGAGGCTGGGGCTTAAGCAGCTGCCTCAGCCCGTCCGCCTTTCACCCCACTGAGTGTTCAGCCCCGGACAGGAGAAAAGCAGGTGTGGAGCTTGCTCCAGGGGACTCGAGGTCATGGCACAGTGGGCACACCTACAATCCCAGCTACTCTGGAGGCTGAGGCAGGAGGACCTCAAGTTCAAGGTCAGCCTGGGAAACCTAACCAGATTCTGTCCAAACTAAAAATCAAGCTGGGGATGTAGCTTGGTGGTGGAGCATCCTTAGGTTTGACTCCCAGTACCAGGAAAAAAAGCAGTGCTTGAAGGCTCCAGAGGCCCCTGGGTTGAGCCCCTGTGATGGGCAGGTGCGGGTTTGGGGTGAATTCGGAGATCAGGGGTCGGCATCTGAGCGGTCACATCCTAGCGATCTGTAGTCCTCTTCCCCATGCCGGGGCCCTGTGCCTCCTCCACCCCACCCTGTGTTGTGGAGGGTGAGGCCGGCCCCTTCCCAGGCACATCTGGCCAGGATGGAGCTCACCCTGGCACTCATGAAGTGAGGCCCCGACAGCCAGGCAGGCTGTGACCAGGCTGCTGGGCATGAGAGCAGCAGCAGCAAGGGGCAAGGTCAGGGCCTGACAAGGAGGGCACCGGGAGGGCTCTGGGCCAGCAGGAGCTCCCACGTGCTGGGACTCAGGGTGACCCGGCTCCCCCTCAGGGACCGCACTGTCTCCCTGGCAAGGTCTAGTTCTCTCCTCTTCCTCCATTGCCACCAGATGCCCTGAGCCCTCCTGACCACCTTCCATCGGTCCCAGCCCCGGCAGTACACAGGAGGCCCCTGCACCGCTGTCATCCCAGCAGTTGGGAGGCTGAGGCAGGAGGATCACAAGTTCCAGTCCACCCCAGGCAACTCAGTGACTTAGCCAGACTCTGCCTCTGGCCGTGCAGCTCTGCATGAAGCTCCCCTGTCAACCAGGGCTTCCCTGGGTGGGGCTCCCCAGCCTGTGCAGGGGGTGGAGGCTGGATGTTTTGGCCGCTGCCTCCTGAGGGAGGCAGACTTCTGAGTGCCTCTCACCCTTCAGGGCAAATTCAAGGCTCCCGCGGTAGCCAGGTCACCTGTGGAGCCTGGGCAGGCTGCTTCTCTGGTGGCCAGGGCCGGTGGCTGTCACACAGGCTGCAGGCGACCTGGGCCCCGGGGCGGGGAGAGGACCCAGGACACCAGCTCTTGGCTTTCCATTTCCAGTCCCGTGGATGCTCTTGGGGTCCGGAGGAGCTGGGCACCCTGGCCAGCCTGGGGCGGGGTGAGGGAGTGTCCTTGGGCCGAGCCCCACTCCCACAGTGCCCTCTCTCCAGGGACCCGGTGGACTTCTCTCCTGCTCTGCCTTGCAGATGGGGGCCTGGGCCTGGGCTCCTGGCCTCGAGTCCCAGCCCCGCCACCCCCTGTGTGTGACCTTGGGCAAAGTGGTCTCCTCCTTGTGCCTCAGTGTCCCTGGCAGTCAAGTGGGAATGACAGGGACACTTATCCCGGTTCAGGCCTGATCCATGAGGACTTGCAGGGGGTGGCAGCCGCCAGGCAAGTTAGGGGTCATGGGGCATCCTGTCGGGCACCTTCTCCCTCACCATGACACCAGGACAGGAGCGGATGCCCTGGTTGAGGGATCTGGGGTCCCCGGCCCTTCCTATGCACCACGCTGAGCTTGGGTTGGGTGTCACCCCCTCACCCTGCCTCCTCTTTGGGGGCTCTGAGGTCCCGGCCTCCCAGAGCTAGTGCCCAGGCCTGGGACGGGGCCACCTTGCTTAGGCCTCATGGGTATGTTGCCATGGCAACCAGGAGCCTCCAGCCCCGCTGCCTAGGCCCCTCTGAAAAATTCATCAGGAAAACTTCCGTGTTTAAAAATTAACCGCAGATTGAAATATTAAAGATGAGCTGCTTTGGGCAAGGCAGAGGGCAATGGATTCGGAGGCAGAGGAGCCAACCCCTTTCCTTCTGACTGGATGGCACAGGGCCCGGGGTCAGCCCCATCCACCTCAGGTCCCCTCTCCCTTCCCATGATCCTCCAGGGCCCTGCCTCGGTCTCCTCACCTGGAGACCAGCTCAGGCCCTGGCTGGAAGGGGGGACCAGTGCCCCGGGCCAGGGGGTGCAGAGTGGAGGGTAGCTGCACCTCCATCCTCGGGGAGCAAGAGGCTTTCGTGGAGCCCCTGCCACCCTCCAGGGGCTGAGACCTGCCCAGTGGCCTCAGCCTGACTGTTCTCTGCCCTCGTGCCAGCCTGCCCACCTGGCCCAGGTGAGCTTTGTCATCCCAGCCTTCAACTCCAACTTCACCCTGGACCTGGAGCTGAACCAGTGAGTGTGGCCCACTGGGCAGGCAGGGCACAGGGGACTGGGGCCTGCCCCAGCCTCTCGGTGACTGTGCTTTCTGCTGTCCCAGTCACCTCCTGTCCTCTCAGTATGTGGAGCGACACTTCAGCCGGGAAGGGACACCTCAGCACAGCACCGTGAGTCCTTGGGGAAGGGATGGGGTGGAGGTGGCCTCCCCAACTCAGAGGCCCCAGTCAGCAGGGAGCTGGGCATGTAGGTGGCACAGGACCCCGAGCCAAGGCCCATGGGGCCGGAGGCCACAAAGACAGGGCCCTGTGTGCTGGGCCAGCTGTGTCCCCAGAGCCTAACCACCCTGCCCTAGAGCCCAGCTGCAGGCCACATGGGTCCCTGTGCCCGGGCCAGAACCTGGACAGGGCAAATGAGCAGGGCCAGGAAGGTGGTCCCTCTGCCTGACCACGGACAGGACCCGGCTGCCCCAGCTCCTCAGCCAGGGACCGCGGTCCGAAGGCAGCAGGCGTGGTCACGTGATGAAACATAGGACGAGTAAGGCCGGGCCGCGCCTCCTGCAGCAGGTGCCCGGGACAGGCCGCTGCCAGCCGCCCTCCCAGCCCTCGGCTGGCCCAGCGTCCTCAGGCTGGAGTTAGGGTTGCCCGGGACTCCGCCCTTCAGTGACAGCGCTGGCGCTGAGCCAGGCCCGGGCGCCCTGCTCACCAGCCTGGCTCCCCAGGGCGCCGGAGACCACTGCTACTACCACGGCAAGCTCAGGGGCAACCCCCGCTCCTTCGCGGCGCTGTCCACCTGCCGGGGGCTGCAGTGAGTAGGACGCGGGGGCGGGCTCCGAGGGCGGGGCTCCGGCGGGGGCCGGCCCGGTGGTAGCCCCGCCTCTCTCCGCAGCGGCGTCTTCTCCGACGGGGACTCGACCTACCTCGTGGAGCCCCAGGAGCTGGCCGGGCCTCGGGGCCTCGCCCAGGTGTGCCCAGAGCCGCCCTCGCTCTCCTGAGCGTCCACCCGCTGCCTCCGCAGTAACTTCAGCCTCGCGGCCCTGCTCGGTGACCCCAGCTCGGGTTCCCTCTCTGTCCCACACGCGACCTCCCATGGGCTCCAGTGTCCTTTGCCCCGGCTCTCAGGGTGAACCCGGAATCTGAGGCTCTGGGAGATCTGATCCCACGGAGCCCTGCCCGGTTCTGGGTCACCCCGGTCAGACCTGCCTGGCCGCCCCAAGAACGCATTCCCCTCATTGCAGGGACCTCTCCCCCACCTCGTCTACCGGACCCCTCTTCTCCCAGCCCCCCTCGGATGCAGGGAGCCAGGTAAGGGCAGGAAGTCGGGTTGGGCAGGGCCTGGAGGGCCCCCCTCACCCGTGCGTCCCCGCAGGCTGCCTGTTTGCCGCCCGCTCCGTCCCTCCGAGCCGGCCGAGGCTGAGAAGGAAAAGGCAGGTACGGGGCCCGCTCAGACCTCGGGCTGCAGAGACCCCGGGCCACCTCCGACCGGGGCGGCTGCGGTCCCCGGACTGGGAGGGGCAGACTCTGCAGGGGCCGCGCTGCCCTGGCTGCATTCCGCCCGCAGCTTCAGCTTGACCTGGTGTCGGGTGTGGAGGGACTGACTCCCAGGGCCCACCCATCCCCAGGTCCGCAGGGGCCACCCCACAGTCCACAGCGAGACCAAATACGTGGAGCTCATCGTGATCAACGACCACCAGCTGGTAGGTGCCCGGCCTGGGTGTGGCCCGGGGGAGGCTTGCAAGGAGCGAGCCCCGCTTTCTCCCCCAGTTTGAGCAGATGCGGCAGTCGGTGGTCCTCACCAGCAACTTCGCCAAGTCCGTGGTGAACCTGGCAGACGTGGTGAGCACGCACCCCGCCACACACTCTGGGGCTGGCGGGACCCCACTTCCCACTCCCACCACCCCCTTCTCTGGGTCCAGATCTACAAGGAGCAGCTCAACACCCGCATTGTGCTGGTCGCCATGGAAACATGGGCCGACGGGGACAAGATCCAGGTGCAGGACGACCTCCTGGAGACCCTGGCCCGGCTCATGGTCTACCGGCAGGAGGGTCTACCCGAGCCCAGCGATGCTACCCACCTCTTCTCGTGAGTGCTGCCCCATGCACCCTGCTTCTCACTGGCCACCTGGCCACGTGTGTCCGGCTGGGCTTCCCACTGCCCTGGCTGGGGAGCCTGGGCCCGGTGTCCAAGTCCCCGTGGTGTCCCCTGCCCTTTAGAGCGTCCCAGCTTCCTTCCTGGGGGCCTGGGCTTTGCACCTAGACTTGAGCTCACAGAGCCCGGGAGGCTGATCGCAGGGCAGGGCAGGGCCGGCCCATGCTGATGGCCTCTCCCGCAGGGGCCGCACCTTCCAGAGCTCCAGCAGCGGGGCGGCCTACGTGGGGGGCATCTGCTCGCTGAACCGGGGAGGCGGTGTCAATGAGGTGAGCAGGGGGTCTGGGGGCTGGGCTGGGCCTTGGGGTGCAGACACCTGGCCTCCCTCTTCCCCCAGTACGGCAATATGGGGGCCATGGCCGTGACGCTGGCACAGACGCTGGGCCAGAACCTGGGTATGATGTGGAACCGGCACCGGAGCGCGGCGGGGGACTGCAGGTGTCCCGACGTGTGGCTGGGCTGCATTATGGAGGACACGGGGTGAGCAGGGGCGCGGGCGTCTCCGTGGGGCGGGGGGCTGCAGTGCCCACGTCGGCCACGGGGCGGCCCCTCGCTCAGACGGGGACAGAGGGAGGCGGCCGGAGGGCGCCCAGCCGCCCGGTCCCTCGCCCGCCCAGGTTCTACCTGCCCCGCAAGTTCTCGCGCTGCAGCATCGACGAGTACACGCAGTTCCTGCAGGAGGGCGGCGGAAGCTGCCTCTTCAACAAGCCGCTCAAGGTACCGGACCCAGCCCTAGCCCCGCCCCGCCCCGCCCCGCCCCGCCCCCAGCCTGACCCCGTCGGCGCACCGCCGGTTCCCGCAGCTCCTGGACCCGCCCGAGTGCGGGAACGGCTTCGTGGAGGCGGGGGAGGAGTGCGACTGCGGCTCGGTGCAGGTGAGCCTCGGGGTCGGGGCGCGGTGTCCCCCGCGGGGGTGCCCGAGGGCGGGCCCAGAGAAGGACGAGCCCGGCGCCTCCCTCCCTCCCTCCCTCTCCTCGTGACCCTCAGGAGTGCGGCCGGGCCGGCGGCAACTGCTGCAAGAAGTGCACGCTGACGCACGACGCCATGTGCAGCGACGGGCTGTGCTGCCGTCGCTGCAAGGTGTGCGGGGGCGGGGCACTATGTGGGCGGGGCCGCGCGCGAGGAAAGCGCCAATGAGCGGGGTGGGGCGGGGCCACGAGTGGGCCTGAGCGTAGCCTGGTCCGCTGAGCCCGCCCTCTCGCAGTACGAGCCCCGGGGCGTCTCCTGCCGCGAGGCGGTGAATGAGTGCGACATCGCTGAGACCTGCACCGGGGACTCGAGCCAGGTCCGTGGGCGCCGGCAGCCTGTTTCCCCACCTGGGAGGGGCTCCTTGCGCTCCCGGCCGCTTCCTCGGTCATGTCCGGCCGGTGTCCCGCCTGCCACCGTGCCCACGCGTGACCCGAGGATCCCCTGCCCTGTCCTCGTCGCCAGGCGCGCAGCCTCCCGCGTGCAGGAGACTGAGGGGGGCTGGGGCTCGAGTCCCTAGCGCAGCCCTCAGGCCCCTGTCTCCGCAGTGTCCTCCGAACCTGCACAAGCTGGACGGCTACGCCTGTGACCGCGAGCAGGTAGGCGCAGCCCCCAGCCCAGGCCGTGCTGCCCCTGAACCCACGCTCACCGCCACCCCGTCCCTAGGGTCGCTGCTACGGAGGCCGCTGCAGAACCCGGGACCGGCAGTGCCAGGCCCTGTGGGGCCGTGGTGAGTGGCTCCCCAAGAGCTGGGACCGAGCGGCCGGGGCGAGCGCAGCCCTGAGGCTTCCCATCTCCCCGCAGCGGCCGCCGATCGCTTCTGCTACGAGAAGCTGAACGTGGAGGGCACGGAGCGCGGGAACTGTGGCCGCAAGGGCTCCGGCTGGGTGCAGTGCAACAAGCAGTGAGTGCGGCGGCCGGGCGGCGGCTGGGGCTGCAGAGGCCCCACTCAGCTCACATCCCGCTGCCCCGCAGGGACGTGCTGTGCGGCTTCCTCCTCTGCGTCAACATCTCCGGGGCTCCTCGGCTGGGCGACCTGGGTGGCGACATCAGCAGCGTCACCTTCTACCACCAGGGCAAGGAGCTGGACTGCAGGTGCGGCTGGCCGGCTGCGCGCAGAGGGGCGGTGGGGCGCGGGTTCGAGGCCCAGCCGCTGTCCCTTCCTAGGGGCGGCCACGTGCAGCTGGCCGACGGCTCGGACCTGAGCTACGTGGAGGACGGCACGGCCTGCGGGCCCAACATGCTGTGCCTGGGCCACCGCTGCCTGCCAGCCTCGGCTTTCAACTTCAGCACCTGCCCGGGCAGCGGGGAGCGCCGGGTCTGCTCCCACCACGGGGTGAGCAGGGGCTGGTGGAGGGGACCCGGGAGCAGGGTACTGCGATCCCAGCACTCGGGAGGCTGAGGCAGGAGGATCGCTGTGACTTCAAGGCCAGCCTGGACTGCATAGGGAGACCTCGTCTTTAAATCACATGACCTGAGAGAGCCTCACTGCCATTGCCCCCAGGTCTGCAGCAATGAGGGGAAGTGCATCTGCCAGCCCGACTGGACCGGCAAGGACTGCAGTGTCCACAACCCCCTGCCCACATCCCCGCCCACTGGGGAGACGGAGCGGTACAAAGGTGAGTCGGGCACTGGCCAGTGCCGTCCACTGTGGCCCAGGCCGACCCTGGCAGCAAGCTGTCTCCTCCCCAGGTCCCAGTGGCACCAACATCATCATCGGCTCCATCGCTGGGGCCGTCCTGGTCGCAGCCATCGTTCTGGGTGGCACAGGCTGGGGCTTCAAGTAAGAGACACACTGGACACCAAGACCCAGGCTGTGGGCTTTGGGGACCCTGAGAGGCCAGCTGACCCCGTCCAGGCAGCCCTTGGGGCCTTGTGCTACCAATTAAAACCCTGAGCCGGGCCGGGGATGTAGCTCAGTGGATTTGCTGCCTGCCTCGGAAGCGCAAGGAGCCGAGTTCAATCCCCGGTACCAAAAAAATAAATAAAACCCTGAGCCACCTCCACTGAAACCCGGGGATCCTGTCTTCACAGCCTTGGCTCTCAGCCCAGACTGGGGTCCCCCTCCTGGGCTGCACTGTGGGACCTCCACGTCCCTTCCTGGGCTACGGGGGCAGCTGTTTGACCCCACATTGTGCAGAGCGGGACCCCAGGGAGGGCGTGAACACATGGGTGGCAGAGCCCCTGGGTGGATCCGTCCCTGTTGTGCAGCCCCGGGGACCCTGCGGTCTCTGGCCTAGGCCTCCGGCAGTGGGGACGGAGGGTGACACCTCCTTTGATCTCTCCCTCCGCTTCCTCTCCTGGCACCGGCAGAAACATCCGCCGAGGAAGGTACGACCCGACCCAGCAGGGGGCGGTGTGACAGCAGCCTCTTGGCTCATTTCATCTCATCTGTCCCCGCTTCTGCTGCCTGGAGCAAAGCCCTGCTCCTGCAGTGCCCATCCCGTCCTCCGCCCCATCTGTCTGTCGCTGTGTCCTTGTTCACCGCTGTCTGACCCCCAGGCCCGTGACTTGTGGCCGGCAGTTACCTGGGCCCTTCCTGGCTCCTGCCTGATGTCCTCTCTCCTTCCAGGTCCGGAGGGGCCTAAGCGACACCCTCCCCACACCTGGCGCCACCGTCGCCACCAGGGTGGCGCCATCACGTGTCTTCCAGGTCCCCCTCTGCTCTGGTGCGCAGAGCGGCATGGCGATGTCCTCCTGCCGTGGTGGCCGGGCCTGGGGGACTCCTGGCCACCTCCTACGGCTTCGGCCTTGCGCACGCCTGCTGTGTGAATGTAGCTTCTGCCACCGCGCCACGGCCCTGCTCTGGACAGGGAGAGGCACCTCCCTTTTTCTCACTGATCTTAACTGATGAATGTAACGGGCGCTGCGGCGGGGGGGGCGGCATTCACAAGAGGGCCTGGTGCCCGGTCCTGACCCTGGGCCACTCACCTGGCACCCAGGCCTGACTGGGAACACAGCTTGGTGCCTACCCCTGCCCCAGGGGGCTGGTGCCACTCCTGCCCGCCCTCGGCCCGCACAGCCCAGAGGCCCCGCCAGGGGTGCATCAATTCCGACAGCCGTCCCTGCCAGGGTGCATGCGTTTGGGGGGGTCCCTCAAATAAAATGGCACCTCCCATCCAAGAAGGGTGACTCCAAGCTGACCCAGGGTCCAGTGTTCAGGGCAGGCCGGCTCCCAGGGAGAACTCTAGTCAGAAGAACAAAGGTGGCTGGGCTGGGGGAGAGGCCCAGACAGGTCTCATGGATGACCCTAGGGTCCAGGGAAGGCCTCCCGGCCACCAGACCCGTTCCCCTTGCTGCCCCTATCTGGGTCCCTCCCCTCACCCAAGTCCCTGCACCCTCCCCGGGAGGAGCCGGCTTGGGGGTGTAGCTGCCCAGGGACCGACCACAGTGAACACCACGCCACCAGGGTTTCCTGCTCCCCGGTTGCCTTGGGATTCTGGGGCCTCTGAGGAGGTAGTGTGGAGGAGATGGGCCTAGGACCAGGGGGGCTGTAGGGCATGGGCTGCAGTGGGGACCCCAGGACTGAGCCCCAGTGGGCACTGCCCCACCAGGAGCCTAGCAGAGCCCTGAGTCTGGCCCATGGTGGGGACAGGGAGGACATAGACTTCCTGTGCCACCCACCCTGGCTCCCAGCTGTCTGCATCCAGTCTGCCTGGCAGTGCCTGGGAGGCGTGGGGCCGCAGTGCTGCTGGAGTCCTGTACAGATGTCATCGGGCTGGGCACCGATTAAAGATCCCATCCAGGCTCCGAGGAGCCCACATGCCTCTGTCTCCTTCTGTGAATGCCATTGTCTGCTGAGGTCCCCTTCCTGCTGGGCCTGGAGGATGCCTGACCACTGGGTGGCAGGGGCACCGGGGCCTCGGGGAGGCAGAGCCGAGAGGGTCCAATGATTCCAGGGAGGAGGTGGCACTGGGTGGAGGCCTGGGCCTTTGCTCCCTGCCATCCTGCTTCCACCCAGCTTTGCAGCTTCCTTCTGCTCCCTCCAAGCCTGGGCAGGGCTGGGGCTGCTCCCTGTCGGAGGCCACCTTGGAGCTCAGACCCATGGCTGCGTCCCCACTTCCCCTCCTGAAGGCCGCCCTGGGGGAGTGCTAGGATGGGAAAACGGGGGGCCCATCTGGCACTGGGAGAGGAGAGGTGGAGTGGGGAGGAGAGAAACAGCAGCACAGGAGCCAGGCATGGTGGCACACATCTGTCATCCCAGCACTCTAGGAGGCTGAGGCAGGAGGGTCCCAACCTGGGCAAACTAGCAAGACCCTGTCCCAAAATAAAAAAGGGCTTGGGATATTGCACCGCAAAGACAAAGGCCCTGTGTTCAAGTCCAGTACCACAAAAGAGAGAGGAAGCCAACAAGCAGCATGCCAGGTTGTGGGAGCCCCTCTCGCCTTCAAGCAGGCCATGCTGGACCCGGTTCTCTGCAGTGACCACCGGAGGCTGCGCCTCCTGGTCCAGCTTCACAGGTCCCTGGGGTCGCCACAGGCAGCTCAGGCTGCCGCAGGCTCCTGGTCCTGCAGGCTCGGGGCTCCTGGCAGCCCCTTCATATCCACACGCCCCCTTCTCAGCTCTGGGACCTGGGCTGCTGCTGGGCCCATCATAGTGGCCCCGGGATGGGCATCAGGGCTCTAGGGAGGCACCAGGCCTGGGCTCCGCCCGGCCACTGGTGCCAGACTCCTGAGTCCGGATTTCCTGAGGAGTCAGCACCAGGTGGCCGGGGACATGGAGCTCGGTCCCAGGCATCCAGGGCTGAGGTGGCCTTGCTGTCACCGGGAGCTGACGGTGGGGGCAGCTGGGGACTGGGGAGCAACGCCCGCCCCTCAGCTCGGCCTGGCTCTCAGCACGAGGAGTGGGTTCCGCGCTCCGCGCCCGCTCAGGAAGGAGCCGCCACACGCTCTGCGTGGCCCCGACTGCGACAGACCCGAGCCATCCTCACCCCAGCGACTCCCAGGACAGTGACGCAGACGCCAGCTTCTTTTCTTCTGCCCGTGGCTTTCGTGGAGTTGGCCTCTGGGCTCTGTGGCCACGCTGAGGCCGGAGCCCCACGCCCACCCGAGGAGGACGGGCAGGGGCGGGCCCGGCAGCACCGTGCTCTCCGGAAGGCAGCGAGAGCCTCCTGACGGCTGTGGGCGGCTTGGGGTGAAGACACCCTCACCATCTGCCGGCCTCTGCCCTGGTGTCTGCTGCACTTCGATGCCGAGGTTCGGGACATGGGCTGCTCGGACTGCTGCTGGGGGTCGTCCCATGCGCGCGTCCCTCCTCTCACCCACGTCTCCTCTCCTATCTGCCCCATCTGAACCCCACTTGCGTTTTGTGGGGCTGTTTTTGTATTTCTTGGCAGTGCTGGGAGCGAACTCAGGGCTCTGCAGAGCAGCCGAGCACTGACCACTGAACCACCTGGCCCTGTCCAGCCCCAGCCCCGCCCTGCAGGAGCGAATCCCACTCTGCTGTGACCTCAGGCCCCACTGCTCCCTGTGCTCAGCCCCAGCCCCGCCCTGCCCCGTCAGAAAGGGTCCCTTGCTCTTGGGGGACCTCCCGGCCTCTCATAAGGCAAACTTGCTCTGCGTGTGGACTCTGAGGCCCGTGTCCATGGGTGGGCATGTGCAGGGCTGGACCACAGGGAGACACACGGAGACCTGGACACCCGGAGGCTTGGCAGTTCTGAGACAGGATCTCCCCATGTGGCCCAGGTTGGCCTCAAACTTGCCTCCTCCTGCCTCAGCCTCCTGTGTGCTGGCCTCACAGGCACCGCCACAACCCCAGCTGCTGTTTAATCGGGCTCAGTCTGGACTCAAGGGAGCTCCAGGATGTGGAAGCAAAACAGTGTAACTGGAGCCAGGCCCACGTGTGCTCAACACGGAAACCTTTCTCCCGGCGCCACACAGAGCGCCGCACACCCTGCTGGCAGGTGATCTGGGCCTCTGCCCCCACCTCCCAGCACCTCACCTCCCCACCCCCAGATCTCCGGGGCCCCTCATGCCTGATGTTCCCACCCCGTCCCTGCGGGGGCAAAACCAGCCGTGGGGTCACTGTGCTCGGCAGTGTCACTGCTGTGTGAGGCAGCCGGGGAGGCTCTGTCTCCTCAGCCCGCCCAGGGCCACCACCATGGGCTGGGGAGGAGGACGGGACTGACCCAGCCTGCCAGGTCTGAAGACGGCAGAGCTTTACACTGGCTAGGGACCCTGCCAGGCCCCGGGCACTGAAGGACCCAGGGAAAAGTCTGGGTAACAGCCGTTGAAAAGGGACAGGACCCAAACCCAGCTCGTTCTGACAGCCGCAGACTTGATCCTGCTGAGGGACTGGAATGACCTGCCATCCCTTCCCCATTTCTCCTGCTGCCTGGCCTCTGTGAATACTCTGAAAGAAAGGATTCTGAGTCAGGACGGGTGGCACACGCCTGGAAGCCCAGCTCTGGGAGGCTGAGGCAGGAGGCTTGCAAATCCTAGCCCAGCCTGGGTAACTTAGTGACTTATGAGTCCCTGTCTTGAAAAGCAAAGCGTTGGGTTCAGAGGTCAGGGAGAAGGAAATTCCTCGGGAGCGGCCTGTCCCACCACCCTTCCTGACCAGCTCCTCCTCAGCATCTTGGCAGAAAGCTAGCTCGGCTCCTCTACGGTCACCTGCCCTGGCCACCCAGGCCTTGCTCCGAGACGCTTGTCACTGGGCCGAGACCGAGTGCCACGTTGGCCTGGGCTCCTCAGGGTAGAGCTGTGTGGGTAGAGTTCAGCATGGGCTGCTCACCCCCACCCGCCACCGCCATGTGCAGAAGGGACAGAGGACTGAGCCCCAACAGGATGCAGGCAGGGACTGCAGTGGGATGGACGGCCACAGGCGACAGGCAAGGCCCTGAGCAGGTCATGTTCCCAACAGGCACGGCTGCTGAGGGGAAGGGAGATTTTCGTCTATTTTACACATTTGGGGAGTTTCGCTTCTAAGATACATTTCACGTATCTTTCGTGTCTGTGAGCTGGGGATGGAACCCTGGCCCTTGGACATGCTGGGCCAGCACTACTCTACCCCGAGCCACACCCCAGCCTTTTTTAATTTTCAAGGCCAGGCTCATGAAGCTGCCAGGCTGGCCCCAAACTTCCAGTCCTCCTGCCTCAGCCTCCCCAGTGCTGTGATTGCATTTGTGCACCACCAGGCCTGGTTTAAAACATCTTTTAGGGGCTGGGGGTTTAGCTCAGTGGTTCCACTGCCTGGTTCGCAAGTGCAAGGACCCGAGTTTGATTCCTGGCACCAAAAAAACCCCCCATCTTTTAGGGGACTGAATTTTCTAAGTTTTCTTTAATAGAGTGTGTGATACTTTTATAACAACAAAACACCAAGGCAGAACTAAGCCAAGCGTCGTAGAGTGGCCCTGTCGTCCCAGCGCTCTGGGAGCCTGAGGCAGGATCACAAGCTTGAGCCCAGCCTGGACAATTCCATGACTTAGTGAGACCATCTCAAAATTAAAAATGAAAAGGGGGCAGGGGCAGGGAGGTAGCTCAGTGTGGAAGCCCTGGGTTCAATCTCCAGTGCTGCAAATAAAACCAAACCCACAAACTGAAACCCTGTCCATCAGACAACTCACCCCCCGCCGGGCCCTGTGGCCCTGGTGGGGTTCACCTGGGTCTTGGTCATCTCCCGGTTCTCCACCTCTGTCACCGGCTTCCTCCACTCAGGCATCCTGGACCCTGCCCCAGCTTGCGGGGGTACGACCTCCCTCTCCAGGGGACTACAGCGCCCCGTGGCTGGGCGGTCTTCACTCCCATCCGTCCCTTGGGGACGTCAGAGCTGTAGTCCCGTGAACGCTGTGCCTGATGCTGCCATTCAGGGACCTGGTCGGGGGCTGGCTGGGCCAGGTTTTGAGAAATGGGTTTGGGTTGAAATGTACCTAGCACATCCCCAGCCCCTAACCCACCTCCACGCTCCTTTTTTGGTTTTTTTGGTACCGGGAATCGAACTCGGATCCTTTCGCTTGTGAGGCAGGCGGAACCACTGAGCTAAACCCCCGGCCCTGCTTATAGCTTTTTGACTAATGCCTTTCCCACCTTGCTACCCAGGCTTCAGAACCCACATGAAGTGAAAATTTGCAAATTCACTGTAAATGCAACCTGCAAATCGTTTCGCTGATGACACAGGACAGTGCATTTGAACTTCAGGTAAACAGCAGAAAGATGGGGTGGGTGCTGGGGATCAAACCTGGAGACGTGTGCGCTCCACCGCCCAGCTGCCCCGTGCCAAGCAGCTCCCTGGTGCTTCACTCAGAGCTGAGGGGCACTGGCGGCCTCATCCCTGCTCCCCTGCTTCCCCCAGCTGCCACGCCTGCCTGGCCCCTCTCCCCGTCTGTCCTAGGTCAAACTCCCGAAGCAGCCTGGAACCACACCGGGCTTTGATTTGCCTGGCCCAGACCCCGCAGGCCCTTGCCAATGTTTCCAAAGATTTTTTGTTGTTTTCAAACGGGGTCAGTCTTGCTATGCAGTTCAGGCTGGCCTCCAACTTGTGGCGATCCTCCTGCCTCAGCTTCCAGCGCTGGGATGACAGGCGTGCACCACACCTGGCTTATTTCCAGTCTCGATCCCTCCGGATCTGAATGTGGAGGGGACAGTCCTCACACCTGCGCTTACTGCTCCCAGGTCAGGTCACTCGGAGGCCAGGATGGGCGCTGCCCGCCCACTGCAGGCCCCAGCGGCGCCGCGCCGGGCCCAGCTCCCTGGCCGCAGCGCTCCAGACAACACATACTAAAAATAACACGCTAGCAAAGCCACCGGCGCTGTGGCCAGGCCGGTCCAGGTCAGCGGCTCTGAGCCCGTCGTTATGACGCTGGGTGGTTCTGCTCGCGGGAGCAGGCGGGAGCGGACAGATAGTCGAGGGCAAGGCCAGGACCGGCCATGGCCTGGGGGCGCAGGGAGGGAGGGCGCCAAGCGGGCAGGAGCGGCCACCCCGCCCGCTATGCTCAGCCACCCGAGTTCACCGGGCGGCTCCTCTCTGTGGGGTCCCGGCCGCGCCTCGGGGCTCTCAGGACTGTGTAGCGCGGCCCAGGTTTTCAGCCTCTGCCGTGCGGGAGGGCAGCCGAGGCTCGTCTCTTTTCGCTGCCGACGGCCTCGGTCCCTCCGTGGCGCCTGGAGCCAGCGCCCGAGGTGAACTCTGCCCGGGCCGCACCGGTGAAGCTCGCAACAGCGAGGCCCTCGCTTGGCTCAGGGCCGCACAGGCCAACGGCGGAAACCTGCACCATGGTAAGGAGACCAGCCGCAGCATGCACGGGCCCCGGCCCGACCCGGCGAGCCGCACGCGGCCCCCGCGCAGACGCAGACAGCAGCAGGGCTCCCGGCGGCGAGCAGCGCAGCAGCGGCTGACGGGCTGGCGAGCGCTCAGGCTAGGCCTGCGCCTGCGCGGAACCTCCCTCCCGGGCCGGCCGCCCTCTGACCGCAAACCCGGACAACCACTGCACTACCATCAGGGCTTCCACCCGCTCGCAAGCTCTTTACCAAATACGGCTGCTGCCGCTGACAGGCGGAGCTGGGCTGTGCTGTGGGGCCACGCGGCCTGGTGACACTGCCCTGTGTTCCCGCCCCCCGGCAGGGGCTCCGGGGCCGATGTGTTCCCAGCTCCTCCCGAGGCCGCCTGCACCTCCCGACCCAACACCCACGCAGGGGACCCCGGGCCGAAGGAGCCGACCTGAGGAGCCGGGCCCGAGCGCGCCCTCTAGCGGCGGCTCCTCGCGCACGCAGCCCGCTCCCGCCAAGCTCGCCCTGCGGAGCCCGCGCGACCTCGGATCAGGTTTTCCGCGGGAAGCATTAAGCGCGCTGGAGCGCCGTGAAAGAGCTGGGAGAAGGCTCCGCGGCGTTGCCCGGCAGCCCAGAGTCCAGCGCTTTCAGGTTCTGAGAAAGCACGCAGACCACAAACGGGACTCTCAGGTGTATTTGGCCGTCCTGTGAGACTCACACTGAACAAAACCAGCCACGCGTGACCGCGGGCGCGAGCAGGCGGCTCCAGGCTGCACACGCAGCACAGCAGCTGCTGCTCACAGCCCAGCCCGACGCGCTGCTCTCCGAGGCCCGCGCACATCGCAGCGCTGGTGAGGCACAGCCTCTGCGGAGGAAGAGCCGAGGCTTCAGAGCTGTCCGCCGGATCAGAAACCCAGCCCTGAAGGGCAGGGCTCTTACTGCTCTCATCTCCATAGACTTGACATCGGAGTAGAACTTTCTCTTATTTCCAAGCCCGGATTTTATTTTATTTTTTTGGTACTGGGGATCGAACTCGGGTCCTTGCGCTTGCACAGCAAGCGGCGAAACCACTGAGCTAAATCCCCAGCCCTAAAAAATATGTAATTCTTTTTTTGTGTGGTACCGGGGATAGAAATCAGGACCTTATGCTTGCGAGGCAGGCAGTGGCACCACTGAGCTAAATCCCCAGCCCTCATTCCTTTTTATTTTGAAACAGGCTCTTGTGAAGTTGCCCAGGCTGGTCTGGAATTTAAATGATCGATCCTCCTGCCTCAGCCTCCCAGGTGGCTGGGACCACAGCAGTGTGCCATCATGCCAAGCTAGGGTCATTTTCTTTTTTGCTTTTTTGTGTTTTTTTTGGTACTGGGGATCAAACTCAGGGCCTTGCACTTCCCAGGCAGGCACAGTGCCCGCTGAGCTACATCTCCAGCCCTTAGGGTCATTTTCTTTTTTTTTTTTGGTACCAAGGATCGAACTGGGCCGGCCCTTGTGCTTGCACAGCAGGCGGGGAAACCAGAGCTAAATCCCTGGCCCTAGGGTCATTTTCTTAACATAGATCCGTAACAGTCCTGCAGGGAGAATGGCTTTGGAAGACTCCTGTGTTCAAAAGCCGGAAGAAATGTGCTAAGAAGGCAGTGATAAAATCTTGTCAGATCAAAGCTTTACTCTGAGAATAACAAAGGCCTGAAAGTGTGTGCACGTGAGGGGACAGAAGCACCTTATCTCAGAGGCTGCTGCTCCGCCAGGCTCGGCCAAGCTCCGTGCTCTCCAGCAGGGAGTCAAGCCAGGCACCGAGCTTCCGGCCATTTCTGCTCAGCTCCTCCCTCTGCATCTTGCTCACAACCCAGCCTCCCTGCAGGAGGGCACCACGCTCCCTCAGGCTCTCAGTAAATGGCAGTCAATGCAAGCAAATTTTCTGTGCTTCAATTACAAAGTCTGCTGAAAGCGCTACAGCGGAGACGGAAAGCTCATCCACCTCGCTCAGGGTTAGGGTTCTGCTGTTTCCTTGAATTAGCTACATTTCATTACCCACTGGGTTTGGAGGAAACTGCTTGTCTGTTATTACCCAAGATATACACCAGGTGTGGTTAAAAAATACAATGGATAAACTTTTTAAAAATGTGTCACAGTAAGACACATTCAAAGTCCTTCCTCCTGCTTCCGATGCACTCATCCTGTTGTTCTTGCCCATTTCCGGAGCCCTCTTTCCTGGTCTTTACAGGGTGTGCTCAAAAATACCATGACTGCCGCTGCCATGCGCATGCAGCAGGAAGGCAGCTCGTGGAGACATCAGAGTCCTCATCTACCCGATTAACCAGGTCGGACACCGTGCGACGTCTGGGTCCTCCCAAAGTGAAAGTGACGCAAGGGAGGGGTTTTAAATCAGCTGAGGACATGGAGGCAGCCAGGACAGTGCAACAGACAGGAAGGGGCTCCATCTGCTTCAGTGAGCCAGGGTGTTAAGCTGAAAGCAATGGCGATGTGTCCTTCACTGCAGTAAAATTCAAAACAAAGCAACAGAACTAACTCATTCACCGTATTTCTTGGCCATACCTCGTCTATCATTTTCTGACACTTCCCAATCTCACTTGAGTTTACTTTTTAAAATATTTAAAAATCTTGGGCCGGGGATTTAGCTCAGTGGTTCTGCTGCCTGCCTCAAAAGAGCAAGGTCCCAAGTTCAATCCCCAGTACCAAAACCCAAAACAAAACAAAATAAAATTTTTAAAGATCCTGAGAAAGCCACTTTCAGAGGCTGAGGCGGGAGGGCTTGTTGGGGCACCCCAGGCAGCTTGGTGAGAGGCCGTGGGCTCACTCCCCAGCACCACAGAACAGTAAAGAATAAAGCCCCGAGGGATTCTTCCAGGTGAACATTTAAAAATACAAAAGGAAAAAAAAATAAAAAATACAAATACAAAAGGAAAAAACAAAAACAATACGTAAGTATATGAATGACTAGAAGGTTAAAAAAATTGGGTGGTAAGGAGGAAAAACTGCAACCTGATAAACACGAAACCTTTGCAAAGGGTGCTGTCCTAACTCCCTGAATGATGGGGACTGGCACTTCAAAATGACGACAGGAAGCAGCAGCTGTCAGGCGCCCCAGGCGGAGCAGAGGCCCTCGGGGCCACAAGGCCGGGGACACGGGCCGGGTGGCACCGCGGTGGCAGTGGGTGTCACAGTGGCCAAGCAGCTCCCGGGCCAGCCCCACTGAGTGGACTTGGGTGTGCGCGTGTGGCCTCCAGGGAAGCCCTGTGCTTCTGACGCTGGTGAACATCACGGATGTCAGGAACACGGGCCAGCTCCCCGGGAGGGAGAGCAGCCCAACTCCCCTGGCCTCCTGAAGCCTCTGCCTGGACAGCAGGCACTTGGAAGAAGTGAGCATCGGTTAAACTCTAAAGCTAGCGTGCAGCTTGCTAAACAGGGTAGTAACACTGGCCTAACAGGCATTTCTTGTAGGGATTTTTTTTTTAATATAAAAAAGTATAACTACAGTAGTTCAATGTACAAATACAAAAGTTTTTGTTAAAAAAAAAAAAAAGTGCCATAATACTGTACATACAAAACTGCTCCACAAGAATGATTTAAATCTCTCTCCCCTCAGGACCCGAAGCCGCGATGTCGCCCTGCCGCCCGGGGAACTCGCAACCCTCTTCCACGCTGCCCCCCCCCCCCGAGCGCTGAGCCTCCCCACGCAGCACGGCAGCCAGGCCGCCAGGCCGCCAGGCCGGAGGCCGAGGGCGGTCAGATCCAGACGGATGTCTTCCCATCTCCCGTCTTGCTGCTGGCGCTGCTCTTGTTGGAGCCGGCCTTGGAGCTGGCTCGGGCCTTCTTCTCCCGGGCGGCCGGGGGCTGGCTCTGCTGGTGGAAGGCCTGGATGGCGAGGTCTAGGCGCTCCTGCGCCAGCCGGATCTCCCGCTGTAGCGCCTCCAGCTCGGCCGGGAGCGGCTCCTCTCGGCTGCCGTACTGCTGCTCCTGGGCCGTGTTGGCCTTGTTCTGCCGGTAGGCGATCTTCGCATTGGACAGCTCGGTGTACTGGACCTGATCCGGCTTGACAGCGATGCTGTAGCCAGGGGGTGCGGATGGCGTGTTCCAAGTGAATGGATAATTATAAGCACCCGGCTCATCCAGTTCCCTCTGCTTGCTGTTCAGGGAGTCCCGGATGGTCCCGAAGCCCAGGTGAAGCAGCTCCCAGATGTTGAGCAGCAGACAGAGGCCCGTGACGCCATACATGATCAGAAGGAAGATGGTCTTCTCGGTGGGTCTAGAAATGAAGCAGTCGATCTTATGGGGGCACGGCAGCCGGCTGCACACGTAGAATGGGTGCACCTGGAAGCCGTACAGGAAGTACTGCCCTATCAGGAAGCCCACCTCGAACACCGTCCTGGCCAGCAGCTGCAGCACATAGACCTTCATGAGCCCGTCTTCCCGGATCTGCCGCCGGCCATCATGCTTGGGCTTTGGCTGGCTCTGCTCTTTGTTCTCCTTCTCACTTTCCAGCTCCATCTCGGGGTACATCATGGGGTCCTCCTCATGGTCCTCTTCTGTCTCCTCCAGAGCTCGGTGCTGTTTCCAGCGCATGGGGTAGGGCTTGCCCCGAGCCGCTGCCTTGCCGGCCTGGCCATGCTCCATCTTGGCGATCTTGTGGATGGCGTAGCCCAGGTACATCACGGAGGGCGTGGCCACTAGGATGATCTGGAACACCCAGAAGCGCACGTGTGACAGCGGCGCAAAGGCGTCGTAGCACACGTTCTCGCAGCCCGGCTGCTCCGTGTTGCACACGAACTTGCTCTGCTCGTCATAGTAGATGGACTCCCCGCCCACCGCAGTCAGGACAATTCGGAAGACGATCAGCACGCTGAGCCAGATCTTCCCGACGAAGGTGGAGTGGTGGTGGATCTCCTCCAGCAGGCGGGTCAGGAAGCTCCAGCTCATGGCGGACAGACCACTGTGCCCTGAGGAAGGTGGGAATTCATCAGCAAACACTGAAACCCCTTTTATTTTTGGTGCCAGGGACAGAGCCTCCCACATGCTAAGCTTGTACCCAGCACTGAGCAGCACTGCAGCCCCAAGCAGTATTGAATCTGAACCCAGTCAGAGCCAAGAGTGACACTTCAGCAGCCCCTGCCTGCCGGCAGTTACTCTCAAGGCTCAGGAGGGACCTCACCCACCACCTCCAAAGCACAAGTCCTCCACCCACCAACGCTGGCCTCGGCTCTCGGGGCCTAGGAGCCTGGCTGGCTTTCACGTCTTTGCCGGCTTGAAAAGCAAAATCATGGCCGTCTCATTACTGGGAGCACTGCTCAGGTACAGTACCTGGCTTCAATGCGTAACATCACCTCATTGAGAGAGAAGAAAACAAGGCACAGTCCTGGCGGTCTGGTCCCAGCCCCGCGGGACCTCCCCGGGCACACGGAGGCCAGGGTGGCTCTGCGGAGAGGGAGCTTCCTAGGACGCTCGAGCTCTGGAGCACTGGCGCCGGTCACAGGTACTAGAGACAGCGCCTCGGCAGCAGCCCAGGACTAAACAGCAGAGCAGGCGCGGGGAGACCACAGCTGAGCTGCACAGACAGAGACTCTGGCTTCTAGAAGCCCACAGTGAATGCACCTGGAGCAAACATTACTTCCCTAACTGTGCCTGCGTTCCACCTGGGGTGGAGATGGGACGTTCACTAACTGAACTGTGGAGAGTCAAGCTAATCCACAGCCAATCCATTTAAAACAGCATTTGGAGGGCCCGGGGATTTGGCTCAGTGGCTCAGCGCCTGCCTGGCAAGCAAGAGGTCCTGAGTTCAATCTCCGGCACCAAAAAATAAAAACAGCATTTGGGATTTCTTTTCTGCAGGTCGGCGGACTGAACTCCAGCTCCCACACACCAGGCAAGCACTGGGGCTGGGCTCCATCCCCAACCCTTTGAGACAGGGCCATTAAGCTGCCGGACAGCCTTAAACTTGGGACCCCACTGCCTCCACCTCCCTGGTAGCTGGGACTGCAGGGCTGTGCCACCGCACCCAAGAAAACAGCCTTTTTAGGGTTTATTCTGGGATTTGCAGATCTACGTCCAGAATCCAGGTTAGAGCCAACTCCGTAAGATGTCTGCGAAAGCCAGGCACTCAGAAGGCTGAGGCAGGAGAACTGCCCAAGTTTGAGGCCAGTCTGGGGTGCACAGTGAGACCCTGTCCCAGCACATGCATGAGCCCCCTTGTGGCCCTGTGCTGTGGGCTGCAGGCCAGGCTGACGTGCTCTTACCTGCTACCCAGAGCGCCCGTCACCCAGCTCCTCAGAGACGTGCAGCTTCCCTCACAGCTTTCCCAGACTCCCTCTGCAAGGGAAGAGAACAGAGTGGTCACAAGCATCCTCCCACGGAGAAGTCAGCCACCAGGAAGAAGCCAAGCTTTCTGTGTCACAGGGGTTGCTCAGGAGTGGCAACGATGCCACTGCCCCCTTCCCAGTGGCGTGAGGGGAAGCTGTGTGGCGGTGACACTCAGGCTTTGAAGTCACTGCATTCAGGGGACCTGAAGGGGACATGCCACTGTGATGTGAGGGGCCGCAGCAGGGTCCCCAGTTGGAAGCTGTGCCAGAGCCGGCCGCTGAGCTCAGCCCACAGCTGGCCTGGCGGACATGAGCTCCAAGGGAGGTGATTTACTTACAGACCGACAGACCGACCGACCGCACAGTCGGAAGGAAAACACCTGTGACCTACTGTGATTCCAAATAAACAGGCTTGGAGGGCTGGGGATGTAGCTCAGTGGTTCCACTGCCTGCCTCGCAAGCGCAAAGTCCCAAGTTGGATCCCCGGTACCAAAAAAAAAATCTGCTGAACAAATAAACAGGCTTGGAATGAAGCCTCGCTCTGAATTGCATTGAGGTCCCCAACTCTGTTCATTATTCAAAACAGTCCCCAGTTGGGTGAGGCAGCAATCTGGGAGGCTGAGACAGGAGGACTACAAGTTCAAGCCAACTTAGTGAAAGCTCCGACCTCAAAATTTAAAAAATGGAAAGGGCTGGAAATAGCTCAATGTGAAGGCCCTGGATTCAATCTCCAGTACCGGAAAAAGAGTCCATGAGTGTTGTGTCCATAGTAATTTAATACAGCTTTTATTATTTTTTAAATACCGAAAAGAAGCAGGTGTAATGGTACATACCTCTCTGAGCAGCTGAGGCGGGAGTGTTGCAAGTTTGAGCCCAGGAAACTTAGTGAGACCTTGTCTCAAAACAATAAAAAAGGGCTGGAGGGGAGGGGGCCCAGGGATTTAGCTCAGTGGTTCCACTGCCTGCCTCGAAAGCGCAAGGTTCCGAGTTTGATCCCCAGTACTAAAAGAAAGAGATTAAAAGGGCTGGGGAGGAAGCTCAGTGTGAATGCCCGGGGTTCAGTCTTCAGTGACGAAAAACAAAGTGCAGGCATCTACTTAGCATGTAAGCATCGAAATTTACAGTAACGAATCTGACACAAACATCCCACAAGTCACAAAGCTCACAAAAGCGGAAATAAATGATGCCCCGCACAGTTTATGGAGGTGCTAGGATTGAACCTAGGGCCCTGGCACCGAGTGACAGACCCAGCTTGGATTTTTGGTACCAGGGATCGAACTTGGGTCCTTGCGCTTGCGCAGCAGGCGTCAAAACCACTGAGCTAAATCCCCGGGCCCCAGCTCGTTTTTGAGTCCAGTCTCCTAACTGCTGAACTGCCCAGGCTGGGCTCGAACTTCCCTCCTCCTGCCTAAGTCTCCGGAGTGTGGGCTCACAGGTGTGCCCACCGCGCCCACTGCAGGCCGGCCGCAGAACATGGAGCCCCATGATGCTTCACTCCCAGACTCGCCGCAGGCTCAGGACCTCCCAAGCCTAGTGCAAAGCATTTCCCCAAGGCCTGAAACTCACTGTTTCTAGCAGGCCACAGTCAAGAAAACCCAACTGTCTGTCGAAGAACTCACCCTTCCACCCCTTGCACACAGACGCTGAGGTCTTTTCCTCCCTCCCTCCTTTCTCCTGCTGGACAGCTAGAGCTGGGCCTCAGCACCCCCACCCAGTGAGGACCTTCCAGTAGCGATGCCTGGGCAACGACCCTAACACAGCCCTCTCCGGGTGAGCGGAGCTGGCGGAGGCCCGCAGCCTTCTTGAGCTCTGCAGCAGCCGCCCCACTGCACCTGCTGCTGGCCAGGCTGCCGGCCTAAGAAAGCGGAACTGGGAGCCTGGCTCCTGTGAGCGCTGCAAGAGCCACAGCACCCTCTCCCTACTCCTGAGCGTCCCAGGGCTTGTGTTCTGGACCACAAAACAGCCCAGGGCAGGAGCTAACCTGAGTATTTGGTCCTCTGTAGGTGGCAGGTATAAGGAGTATTTCATTCTCTTTCTGTGGGGAAAAGAGTAACCAATAACAGTAAAAGAAGCTAACACACAGTTGGGTGTGGTGGTGCATTCCTCTAATCCCAGGTACTTGGGAGGCTGAGGCAGGAGTCTCTCAAACTGGAGACCAGCCTGGGAAAACTAGCAAGACCCAATATCACAATAAAATTTAAAATAAAGGGCTGAGGGTGCAGCTCAGTGGTACAATGCTTGCCAAGCATGCTCCAGGTGCTGAGTTAAATCCCCACTACTGCAAAAAAGAAAATGAAACATAAACATAATAGAGACAGGGAAATATTTTTAAAGACTAGAATTAAACTTTTAGAGACGTAGTGCAAGGACCCGAGTTCGATCCCTGGTACCAAAAAAAAAAAAAACAACAAACTTTTAGAGATGTAAATCACATCTGGGCTTAGATACTGCCTAAGACTTTAAACTTGAAAATGCTGCAATGGAAACTACTCAGAATAAAATGTGGACAAAAAACAAAAACAAAAAAACTAGAAAGAAAAGGGTATCAGTGAACTGTAAAATGACTAAGAGGCCTAATATATGTGTAATTGGCAACCCAGGAAAGGGAGTAGGCAGGAAAATAGTCTGAAGAAATGACAGCCCAAATTTCCCGAATTGCATTAAACTATAAACACACACAAGCAAGAAAAATTTAAAATCCAAGGACAAGAAAGAGGAAGAAAGGAACACCATAGCATATCATAACCAAACTGCTTAAAATTAATAGTAAAGAATGAATACATAAACACAGAAGAGAAACTTCAGATAAACAAGCACATTCTCACGAGGAACAGCACAAGCCAGGAAAGAGTGGGACATCACCTCAAAAATCCTGGAAAAACTAACTAAAGTCCTGGGGGGAAACCCAGAACCAGGCTGGGCTGCAGCTCTGTGGTAGGGCACTTGCTAGCATGAGCGAGGCCTTGGGTTTGATCCCCAACACTGCCAGAAAGACTCTAGGATTCTGCATCCTGTATAATCAGAGGCCAAGGAGAGAGAGGCATGAAAACACAGGGAACAACACGCAGGAAACAGAACACACGGGAAACAACACACGGGGAACAACACACGGGAAACAATACACAGAAATCAACACACAGGAAACAACACATGGGAACAACACATGGGAATAACACGTGGGGGACAACACACGGGAACCACACACAGAGACAACACACGGGAACAAGTGCCCGTCACAAGTGGGGCCCAGGCTGAGGCCCTGGGAGAGGAGGGTGTGGTGCAGTGCTGGCTGCAGACATGGGCACGGCTGCAGGACAGCACAGCTGCCGTCTGCGTGAGCCCACCTGAGCCCTGCCCCCAGCGCTCCTGGGACTTGCTCAGAGGTCACAACTGTCCAGGCTTGCAGGAGTGTGCAGGAGTGTCCTCGCCACAGCCATGTCTGGAGCCCACACAGATGCTTCCAGCAGAGCGACAACAGAACCGACTGCGGTCAGGGAGACAGGGCCGGCACCAAAGCACCAATGGACGATGCGCCTCAGGGAGGAGAGCAGGCCAGTCCTCGGTGAGCACGGCTCAGCAGTCATGGCTGATGGACCCAGGGTTGGGAGCAGGGGGAGGGAACACACAGGGTGGTGGGCACTGGCCTAACTGGCACCAGGCCGTGGGTCACACCCCCAGCCCTGAAAAAATAACAATGAAAATAAAGCCATGCACATCCGTAACACTAGCACCCGGGAGGCTGAGGCAGGATTGAAAATTTGAACTCAGCCAAGGCATCTTGGCAAAACCCTGTCTAAAAATAAACTGGCTGCAAGTGTAGCACAGTGCAAAGGCCTTGGGCTCAACTCCCAGAGCCACGAGGCAACTTTTTGGCTGGATGAGTATGTTCACACTCCTGAGTGTGGTACGGGTGTATATGGATCAAAACTCACCAAGCAGTAAACTTTAAATATGTGCAGTACAGTAGTCAATTATATCTCAATGAAATTTAGTCTTAAAAAAAAAAAAGATTAGCCAGGCATGGTGGTGCACGCCTATAATCTCAGCACTCTGGGAGGCTGAGGCAGGAGGACTGCAATTTTGAGTCGAGCCTGAGACTCAGCAAGGCTGTCTGAAAATCAAAAAGGGTGGGGGATGTAGCCCAGTACAAAGGTCCTGGGTTCAATCCCAGCACAGGAAGGGGGCAGGGTCTCTTAAAATTATGTAGAAACCGAAAGGTAGTACTACAAGCCACTGCTGTGATACTTGGTTTTGTTTATTTAAATGTGTGGCATTGGGAGTTAAACCTGGGTGCTCTTTCACTCAGGGACATTCTCAGCCCATTTAAAATTCCTTAAAATTCGGAGACAGTTAAACATGCAACCCTCCTGCCTCCGACTCCCAAGTGTTGGAATACAGATGTGAGCCGGCAAGCTCGACTAATGCCGGATCTGCTGTTCTTTTCTTTTCTTTAAAGGTACTGGAAATTGAACCCAAGGCCTTCACACTGAGCTACACCCCCATTCACACTGAAACTCATACTTCAGATCCTCTTACCTCAGCCTCCCGGAGTGCTGGGACTACAGGCGTGTGCCTCCACACCTGGCTTTCCTTGTCTTTACTGAAATCCTCACTTCAGGGAGCTCCTCGTTCACACACAGTGTCCCTTCCACCTCCCTCTGGACACTCCCCTGGGCACGGCGGCAGGGCGCCTGGACTCCACAGGACAGTCCCGTGGATCTCGGGGGACTGCTTTCCTCCCTACGCCTTGGACGCACGGCCCCGCCTTCTGGGCCCCCAGGGCGGAGGACACGCTCCACCCCACCCACCGAGGTTCCTGCTGCGTGGGAATCTCAAACTGGGTCCCCAGCTCCCCTAAACAGGTCTGTGAGGAAGACGAGGCCACTGTGTGTCCCGGGGCCTCTGGGCATCCGAGTTTGGCGTCTCAGCCATCACTCCTTCAAACACTTCCTGGCCCTCCCGCCACGGTGCCCAGGTCAGTTTTTCCTTCCACTCCTCAGGCCTGGGCGGGTTCCCACATCCGCCTTCCAGTTCACTCTCCTGCCTGCACGAATCTGCCTCTGATTCCCGGAGTGTTTTCATTTCAGTCATTGTCTTTCCCAGCCTCAGGATTTTTCAGCTAGAAGTTGAGTTTTCTATCTCTATTTCCATGTCGTTCCAACATCACTTTCTTCACACCTTGCTTTCATTCTTGAGCATCTTTAAAATCGCTATTTCCAAGTCCTTGTCTGGTAGATCTCCTGCCACCCTTTTTCAGGGACAGTCTGTGGACATTTCTCCCCTCTGGGTTGTTTCTTTTGTTGTTTTTGGTTTTTTGAGACAGGGTCTCCCTATGTAGCCCAGATTGACCTTGAACTCACAGCTGATCCTCCTGCTTCAGTCTCCTGATTACAAGCATGCACCAACACACCTGGCCATTTATTCCCTTGGAATAGGCTCTACTCCTGTTTCTCTGTATGCTTTGTGATTTTTGTTGTTGTTACTGATGGTGGTACATGCCTGTAATCAATCCTAGCACTCTGGGAGGCTGAGGCAGGAGGGTTGCTAGTTTGAGCCCACCATGGGTAACTTAGAAAGACTGTCTCAAAATTTAAAGAACACGCTGCAGATATAGCTCAGTGTGAAGGGCCTGGGTTCAGCTCCTAGTACTGCTAAAACAAACAAAAATACATGGACAACTGAATCTAATACAGGGTTACTCTGGAAGTCAGATTCTTACCCTCCCCCAGGGTTTGCTGCTTGCTTGCTTGTTTGTTTGGGGTCTTTGAAGGTCCTAGTATATAATCTCTGGCTCCCAAGTGGGCAGAAAAGAGAAAGCAAAGGGCAGGGAGGAAAAAGTCCCTGGAAGTGAGTCCACCCGAGGGATGGAGCCCCGTGTCCCAGGGCAGAGCAGCCGACTGCAGAGCCCACAGCCACCAAGGGCAGAGTGGGAGGCGGGCAGCTGCCGGGTGAAGCTGAAGTTGACCACAGCCCCACTCCAGGACGATCCGGGCAGACTCGGCTTCTCTTCCTGCTCTGCCATCTTTTCAGAATCTTCCTATCAATTTTTAATGCTCATAAAGTATAAAAATCAGGAAACAATTTTAAAGTAGTGATGTTCTAAATGTTTTGTCAATACAACAAATAAATATAAATGATTGTAGCCAAATTTTAATCTCCTAGTTAAAAAGTGAGACCCAAAACCCATTAATAAACCAGCCTATATTTTAAAATCTTAATTTCTTGTCTAAACAAAACCAAAATCCAGGATGAACTAAAATTAATTTTGTAGAACAGTGATTCTGAGCCTTAAATTTTGTGAAACAGAACAAGTACTCCTAGCCAAGAGACTAACTCTGGAAGGTGATCCAGGCACTTCAAAAATGATTTCTCTCCATATTTTTCATTTGTGAAATAAATGGAGACCATCAAATAAGATGGTTTCTCAGGCCAGGGATTTAGCTCAGTGGTTTCATCGCCTGCTGCCCAAGCGCAAGGACCTGCGTTCAATCCCCAGTACCAAAAAAAAACAAACAGAAAAACCCATAAATTTCTTTTGGGGCTGGGGATTTAGCTCAGTGGTTCTGGCGCCTGCCTTGCAAACACAAGGTCCCGAGTTTGATCCCCGGTACCAAAAAAAAAAAAAAAAAAAAAAAAAAAAGACGGTTTCTCAGGTCCCTTGTATTACCATTTGATAAAATTATCCTGGCACAGTAAAATACACAGAACAACTGAAAACCTGTTTGGAATTCAGCACTCTGGGGACAGGAAGGAAGGAAGCAAAGTAACAGCAGCAAAATTAAACAAAAACAAGATGTCACATTTTCAGAGAGACATTTCCCAAACAGTCACCCAAACATCTGCAGTGGGAATGCTCTCCAGAGTTCCAACACTGACAGTGGAATTCCACAGTGAGGATTCGCCTTCTGGGTATCCTGGCTCCGAGAGGCAGCCAGACTCATCCAGTGACCCAAGCCTGGGGGGCAGCTCTCCGGGCAGACAGGAAGGCAGTGCAGGGTTCGCAATGAAGTTCGGCTTCACTGGAACGTTTTAAGTGGCAGTTAATTCCACATGAGCGATAATAGATGTTTAATAACTAGCTGGTGACAATTCCTAAGCAAAAGCCTCCTCAGCTAACTACAAACAGTAATCAATGTGTTTATAAACAAGAAAACAATTTATTTTCAAAGAGCTCCTGATGATGGACAATATTTGGAAAGCACAAAACATAATTTATTGTGAATCAAATTATAAAGCCTCCCGGGAAGAGAGTAGCTTCAGATCTTGGCCCAGTCAACCAACAAGGAAAGAAAACGCAGCATTGTGGGCTGAAGTGCCGATCTGCTCTGGCAGCACGCCACGCTCCTGGGGCTGCAGAGCATCCAAGAACCAGCTTGAGGAAGGAGCGTGGGCACCCGGGATAAGGCGGGCATGCATGGCATTGCAGAAGCGGCTCTGGCTTCACACAGGACGATGGTGTCGGACACACGTCCCATTCAGCCAAGGGCTCTGAGCAATGCCCAGTGAGGGAAATGAACACATCTGAGGCAAAAGTAAGTATGCATTTCCAGTTCTACCATGTTTATGATGCTAAGTCCCACAGAGCACCGTCAGGCAGTGCTGTGGGCGTGGCCAGGCAGCTTTCTGAGGCTGAAATCTCGGCTGTCTTCATGGAGAGCTTAGCTGGGCACAGTGGCACACACCTATAATCCCAGCTCTCGGGGAGGCTGAGGCAGGAGTGCAAGGCCAGTCAGGGTTACATGGGAATTCAAAGTCACCTGGGCTACACAGTGAGACCCTGTCTCAAAAAAGAACGGCCTGGGGCCAAGGATGTAGCTCAGTGGCCCCACACCTGCCTGCCTCATAAGCGACAGGTCCTGAGTTCAATCTCCAGTACCAAAAAAAAAAAAGAATCTCACATAATTTATGATATAACCCCATTATAAAATATATAACCATTACAATTTTTTTAGAACAGAGAACACAAAATTCAAATGTCTACAATTATATATACAAAATTCAAAATTACGAGGACAAAGTCAAATGAGCCAGGTGTGGTGACACACCTGTCACCCCAGCTCTCTGGGAGATGGGGCAGGAGGAATACAAGTTCAAGCCCAGCCTGTCTCAAAATAAAAAATAAAAAAAGAGCTAGGATGGAAGCCCAGGGTTCATGCCCCAGGGCCACAAAAATAAATAAATAACTATCCAGGTACATAATTACAGCACAAGTAGAACCCGCCCAGGCTGGGAGAGAATAAGGACTATAAAATATTCTAAAATTAATTTGGTGATGGCTCATAGCCTGTAGATACACTGAAAACATTACGTCAGACACTTCAAATGGGTGAGCTGTATGGTATCTCAGATGTATCTCAGTAAAGCTGTTTCTGAAAACACTACTGTCCACTCTGGGCTTACTCCCCAGTACTGCTAAAAATAACCAACTACACAGAATGGCGACGTCCGAAACTATCCAGTGCAGAGGCACCTGCAGAGGCCAGCCTGACTGACCACAAAATCACACCGAGGCTGCGGGTTCTGTCGGGTATGGGGTGTCCCAAAGCCTACAGAGCAGCTACGCTGCACGTCTTGGAGCCTCCAGTGATACAAGCAGCCGGCTGCAGCACGCATGCCCTAGGTTCCCCCACTGCTACAGAATGTTCTGAGCATGCCTGGCCTGTTCCAGGTGTGATAGCCCAAAATACCATCCGACATTACCAAGCGCTCCTCGAGTAGAAGGACTATCTCCCTCCTGCTCAGAGCTGCTGGCTTCAGACTGGTGTAATGGCACTGCTATGTCCCAGTACTTGCTTGGGTGGCCAAGGCAGGACCACTGCAAATTTGAGGCCACCTAGGCTAGCACAGCAAGACTGTCTTAAGCAAACAAACAAAAAGGCAGGGAGATCATAAGTTTGAGGCTAGCCTGGGGTGCACATCAAGATCTGTCTCAAAAAATGAACAGAAGGACTGGTTTAATGGTTCTGATCCTTACATAAAAGGAATAACACAGAATAGACCCTTGTGTTGTAAGCATGAAGAACACTTGGCCTGTCCACTCTCTTTACCGCACTGCCATTGTGTGATCTCAGGTAACCGCCCTGCTGATGGCATCTGAGCAGTGTCCAGTTTGGAATGATCACAAGCAATTCTCTGAACATTCTATGTCTTCTGGTGAGTGTGTGTGCCCTTCCACTAGTACCTGCAAGCAGACTTGCTATCCTCGGGCACACGGGTCAGTGCTCCGTCAGCAGCTTTCCAGAGGTGTGGTACTTCAAGGCGCCGTCTCCACCTCTGGTACTGCTGCTCGCTAATCTTAGTGGAACTCACCGGCACTAAGACCAGCTTCCCACCCATCACTCTTCTTCTGCCATCAGTGTTTCTTACAATAAACACACAGCAAGGTTTGCTTGCAACAAAAGCCCTCTGAGAAATTTTAAGAGTAGGTTAGGGTCCAAACTTCATAAAATTTGCACATATTCTTAAAGAACTAATTAAGGAAGGAATCATGGGAGAGCAGAAATGCAACACCCACGCCTCGTTATTACATTATGAAACAATCTCAGGCTTTGGTGTACTTAGTATACCCTGGTTACAGGGGCCTGAGACAGAACTTATGTAAAATTGCATTCCAGAGTAAAATGTGGGAGAGTGAGCCCAGGGGGCAGCCTTTAATCTGTGCCTCAAGCCCCACACGTGGGGCACAGCTTGTATCCCAGCTGCCCAGGAGGCTGGGGGGGGGCAGGGAGGGGAGATATGATCACAGATTCAGGGCCAGGCTGGTCAACTGAACAATGACATCCTGTCCCAAAACCATTTACTGAAACCACTTATTTGAAAGAACCTAATAATGGGCTGAAAATGTGGCTCGGAAGAAGAGCACTTTTTAAGTGTGTGTGAGGCGCTAGGTTCAATTCTCAGCAACCAAAAAAAAAAAAAAAAAAAGACACACATCAGAGGATGCTAGCACTCGTGTGGTGTGTGTTCTGAGACAGTCTCTGGCTTTATACTTGGAAGCCTCTACCTCTCCAAGAGCCAAGGCTGGCCTCACACTGTCTTCCTGCCTCCTAAAAGTAGCGGAAATCACAGGCAAAACACTTCTGCCCCAGTTACAGCAGAAACAGAACCACTACTGTGGAGCAAGTTCTACCTGCAGTTCCAACCACTGAGGTGCTGTACACCTGTGCCCAGCATTCCCAGGACTGACGGAACACACACACACACACACAATGACGACAGCGACAGCAAGTTCCAGGAAGC